CATGTTAAACTCCGAGTGTCTGATCATGTAAAAAATGGCTTCTCAGTTAACCTCCTCTTTAAATAATAAAACAAATATGATTCAAAATGACCCCAAGATGAAAAAATTTGGGAGATTTATAGATTTTCAAGGATCAAATTTTAGAGTTTGTCTCCATCTGCTGTGATCTGTCAGCAACGTTTAATATAACGATTGGTTTAATTTATACATGTGAATTCTCCTCCACACATCAGTCGTCCATCCTCCAGGGTACTGACAGTTTTTTATTTGATTTTATTCACTGTGAACTTGAATAAAGGAATATGGGCTCAGTAACTGCAAACTCTGTCATGGTAGTTTTTTTTTTCTTTGCGTGGGTTGCAGAAAATGTTAGAACAGCAGACAGTGAGAGACCGACAGGCTCACAGTGAAAAGATTGCCATTTGGACAGGTAAATGAAAGAAAGAGAAAGGCGAGGATAAGGAGGATTACAGATAAAGGTAAGCATGGAGAAAATGGAGGGCTCTTCAATCTGAACGCATCTGAGAACAAACGAGAAGATGGTAGGAAAACAAGGAGAGGAGAAGGAGTGGGAAGAAATTGTAGGGTAGAGGGGGTGAGGAGCGAGATCAAGGGCCGAGGAAGAGGAGGTAGAGGGAGAAATGCACTATTTGAATTATGTAAAATAGTTGCGTGGGAGAGAGGAGGTGTGTGTGTGTGTTTGAGCTTCGGAGGTACAGAAAAACCAGAGAGAGAGAGAGAGAGAGCAGGAAGAGAAAAAAGACGGACTACTGTTTGAAATTTAAGAAACAGGAACCAGCATATGTGCCAGTTTCATCTTTGAGTTAAAAAGCAAAATCTTGTAAACGATGGAACAAAGATAATTGTATTCATGAGACTAAAACTGATGATAGAAGCAGGGCTTGCCACCCTGAGTGCATCGGACCAGAGAATATTTGGTTCGGATCTGGGGGGAATGTGGTGCAACCAGCTGTTAGCTTCTCACAGCGATTCATACTCTGTGGGAGAAGAGATGTTCTGGAAAACCTACCATCGTGTGTTTATTTCTGCCTTTTTAAGCTGGTTTATGAGTTTGTCCAAAATGTTTCAAACAGCTGCTGGGTGAACGGGCACGGACGGTTTTAAAGATGAACATTTTCGGTTATCCAGTGGAAAACCAGCAGATGGCTTCCCGTCAGCGAATCCTGAAGACTGAATTTTCCTTTAGTGCTCATATGTGATCACATTTACAAATCTAATGAGCAGCAGCCTCAGTTTTTACTTTGTGCTTCCTGCTAATGGGAAGCTCGCTAATCTGGGGAAGAAAGGTTATTATGTGATCAGCATGCCAACAGCAGCAAGCACATCTTTAGATGCATCTCTGCTGCTCGACAGTCAATAACCTCCCTCTGGAGAAGTCAGATCAAGCCTGTTTTCTGCTCAAATCAAATACCCTTATATCCAGTTAAGTCACAGAATTCTCTGGGTTTTTGATGAGAATTTATTTTAAAAGAAAATACATAAATAAGTCAACACCTCCCAATCCGAGACCATGTCGCCAGGTCATGGATGAGGTCCAGCCCAAAGATGGAGGAGTTTAAAGGTGTGGAACACTGAAAAAGCATTTTTTTTTAATTCTTGTGATTATAATCGGTCACTCTGAGTTTTTTATGCAGGCTGAACATGAAAATAGTCTCCTACACCTATTTACTGCATTAGCTTCTGATAGAAAATAGACGGTGAAACTCTAGGATTCGAAAATCCTGACAGATCTATGTCACACTGTCGCTTAACATTCATGGACTCACCCATCTTGACTCACAACAAGGAGGCTGTTGTTGTTTTAGCATCAGCAGAGAACATCTCAGCTAGTATACGCTAACCATTAGCATTAGCAACTCTACAACACAGCATAACTGCTCCAGGCTTGAGTTATTTGTAGAGATAAATCATCAACGTCAGTGGTAGAGTCATTCTACTGTTATCCAATCAGAGGCAAGAAGTCCAAATTTCAGGAAATAAGATTCCAAATTCTGTTGTTTGAAGCTACTTTCTCCTCCAACTGTCTTGTACTTCCTGAGTCAGCTGCATCTGAACTTTCTTTTCTCCCCTGAGGATGACTCAAACGGCATTCATTCCTACTAGAGACCACTGCAAATGTATTTATTAAACAAGTCTTCAACACCTTTAAGTGTCTCGGGCTCTTGTTCACGAACAAGGGAAAGATGGAGCAGGACATCCATAGGTGGATTGGTGCCGCGTCTGCAGGGATACAGGTGTTGTACCGGTATGTCGAGGTGAAGAGAGAGCTGAACGTTAAATTCCCTGACTACAATCACCGTATCAAATAAAATCACATAAAAAATTAGAGCTCTGATTCAAAAACAAAACTGAGAGTAAAAGTCTGGTGGGCAATACAAAAGAAAAGTTGTCTTAGAGCTTTGCTGTATTTTGAGCAATGTGATGATTTAAATAATTAGGAGTCGACTATTAAACACATTTTTAGTGAACTTCAGTTTAACTGAGATAAATTTCTTTATAATTAAATAAAAGACACACATTTTTCATATTAATTCATTGCTGGTCCACAACGTCAAAGTAAGTTTGAAAATCTGAGATATGAGAAATATGGCAAAGAAACTTTTGGGGTGGCACACCAAATTGGTCCTTGTGGTAACTCTGGAGCGTTTAGCCTGTGGCGATGTATTGCATTTCTTCTTTATTCGTTTTCATTTTTTTTAAGTGTGAATCCAAAACATTTAACTTCAATTTTACAAACAACATTTAAGAAAAATCAGTTATTTAAAATGTTATTTCTAATTTAATTAAACATTTTTTTATTTATTTTTTGTTGAGTTTAATTCACCTGTTGCTGTGTTCACAAAAACCTATGGAGATACAAACTTAAAAAAAAATGGTGAGCAGCAGAAACATATGTATTGTTTTTTTATTCTGATTGTTTCTTTACTCATTAATTGCATTATTTTAATTTAGTTTTACAATTATGTCTTGAATGAATAAGATCAATTTATGGTTTGCTTGAGCATTAATATGATATATTAACACTGGCTTTTGCTGGGGAGGCAAGCAATTTTCTAGGGGTGGCCATGGCCACCCCTTGGTGGCGCCAATGGTCTTAAGACCTCACTCCTGTCTGAGAAGGGCCCCAGATGACTCGTTCACATCGAATGTGGAACAGATGTGGTTTGATTTCTGTGCAGCTTCCAAATAGATCAAAAATCATTGAGTCCAACCAGAACCTCTGAGCTCCTGAAAATTTCCACACAGAGTCTATATTTCCAGATGCCACATGGGGATTGAAGTACAAAAGATTATAGGAGCCAGACATGAAACAGCATGGTGCATCAGGTATATTTCAAAATAAAACCTGTGCGGCATAAATGTGCTAACTTTAGTTAGTTAAAGCTTCTTTCCGGAGTATTTCTCTTATCTGATGGCACCATCTAGTGGCTGACAAGCATATCACACAAAAAATTTATTCCTCTGTTTGTTTAAGATCGCAACTTCACGTTTCTGTTTATAAATGTGCTTCTTAGCCGACAAACGGAGCTAAAACACGCTGTTTTACGAGTATTATTCTCATGTCATGTTGTGTTTTCATATATTTATATTTTAGAGACTTACTTGTCCGTGAAAAGTTCATCAACTCTGCATCAACCGAGGTATTCCTTAAATTTGAAGCAAATAAGCGGTAGTCTAACGCTATTGGTTAGTTCTGGTCGGTGCTCAGTTGAATGGAGCTCAGCGGGGCAGGGGGCGTGTTTAGCAAAAAAATAAAAAAGACGTATTGCTTACATTTTATCACAGTACATGATGAGACAATCACTTTTACGGATTTCTGAAAAATCATACATCATTTCTGAAAGGGGAAAACTCTGGAATGCAGCTTTAACTAATGATGTGGATTGCAGTTCACCATGTGTGTTAATCCATGTTATTTTTACTGGTGTATCTTTAAATGCATTGTGTGAAATTTCCAATCATTTGGTGCTCTTGTGGGAGCAGATTTCCAGAGACATTCAGCACACAAGCTGCACTCCATGTGAATGACCGTCCAGCCAGAAACCGTACCAAAACCGGACCGCATCCGTTCCACACTCGGTGTGAACAAGTGGAAACAGTGACTTCTTAATTATTTTGTGGAAAATGAAACTGAGGGTTCTTGCAAAGGCTTTGAGAAACGTTGGCAACTCCAAACTTCTGATCAACTTTTCACTTCAAATTTTATGTCGATGTGGATTTTAGAACCTCCCCGGGAGCTTCCTTTAATGATTATGGCGGCCATCGTGTTCCTTGTCTCTTATTATGTTGGATCAGACTTCCCCTTCATTACCACCACTAGAGAAAACTCACTCTAGCGGTGAAATATTCAGCTGTTTTTTGTCATTTGTCACTCAAATGTATTTTAATGGACCAGCAGAAAGTGAAACACAGTGACCCCCCCTTTCGCTCAGACGTCCCACGTCCCAGTGGATGACTCTGCTGTCCAGGAACCTTATGTTTTACTGACTTTTCCAGAGTTTTGTGCATTTGTTAAAAGGATGGGCAAGTGTATTTCAGTAGCAGGAACCTAAATGTTCTCATGAAAGACTCACTCGGATTTTGTGTGCAGGTGTTTGCTCACCTGTTTTTAGTCTCTTCTTTCACCTTCGTCTCATGAATTCAGATGTTATATTTTAGTCGGGGACAAATTGCTAACAGCTTCGTCCTTTTCCTCACAACATTCAGACAGAAACCCCATCTTCCTCATGGTGGAGCTCCCCCTGTGAGACAGGCGTAGGTGTATTTACATTTAAGCAGAGCTCCGCCAGGTGGCCTTGTGTGGTTTTATTTCTGTCTGGCTGACATTTGACCTCTTTCTAACTCTTCTTCTGTAGCTGTTTAGCTTGAGGCTTGATGCTAAATGTAGCATCCTGCCCTCATATTACCTCTGATTAATTTTTTTTATTTACCTGATGTGTGATGTCATCTCACCCGTGGTTCTTCTCTTCCTGTCACAGATCATCGCGCCCGGCGGAAGAGCATAGCCACTGGGAAGCAACCCAGCATGGAGGTCCCTCCCACTGCCCCCCTTCAACCCTTCCGACAATCCGTGAGTAACCCTCCCTGTCCTCGGCCTCGCTCGCTGCCTCCATCCCTCTCGCTGTCCCTCCTCCCTCATCCCTCCCTTGGCCCATCACACGCCTGTGGCAGACGGGCCAGCGGCACCCCGCCTCACCCCTTCCCCCTGTCCCTGGCCGTCTCCCCGTCCAACACCTTTTGTCCGCAGCAGCAGCAAAAGAGCTCCAAGAAAATGTCCTCCGGCACGCCCCTTTTGCCCCGTTCACTGCCTCTCTCCCCCTCCCTGTCCTTCACCCTGCCCCACTCCCCTGCCACCTCCTTCGCCTCCCCCTACTCTTACTGGGGCGGAGACTGGAGGGCTGCCGGTTCAAGTCCAGTAGCAGGAGGAACTATTATTTCACCACTGCCCCCTGTTGAGGTATGTCACACAGATACAGGCTTCCTTCACACTGACCACTAATATTCCATGGTGTTCTCATTGACCAGGATCATTTTGCTTCATCAATTTTTTTTGTCTCACTGGGCTGAAACTGCAGATGCAAACGTGTGAGAAAAAATGAACATTTTTGAAACTGAATAAATCCCATTTATGCAGATTTTAAAGTCTAGTCACAAAATGTTTTAACTTATTTTTATTTTATTCTCGTGTTAGTGCTGAAAATGTCAGATTCTCCGTTCAGTCTCTAATCAAAGCTCCGACGGCTTTCCAATCAGTGGAAACCAAAACCAGAGAGGTCTCAGGAACGTTTTGGGGACTTTTAGGCTGCGTACAAATCCAGGGGCTGCATCCGTCCACAGCTGTATTTAAAGGCTGATTATGTCACAGCAAAGCAATAAAGGCATCTGAATTCAAAGGATACTCTAAAAGTGAAAACACCTGTCCATCCATTTTCTGTCTATGGTTTTAGGAATTATGTGCCTAACACAAGCCAATTCAAAAAGTCCCAATTTGTGATGTCACAGACGGGAAATGTAGTATAAAACCACTTCTCAAGTGGAGTATCAGCTCAAGACATCAGAGCTTGTCAGCTTATAGCAGCTTGAGCGGGGGAGGGGTGGGTGTGGCTAGCTCCAGTTTGTTTTCTTAAAGTGACCTGAAACGGCTAATTATGGAAGGTACTGAAACTATCTAGATTAAAACCACTAAAATCTCTTTATCTGAGAAGCGTTTAGTGCAAAGAACTTCATTAACATATTTTGAATCGGATAACGGACTTCATAAAAAACATCATAACCTGTCCCCTTTTAATATCTGGTGGTAAACAAATAAATAAATTTACAGATTTTGTGTTGTTAGACTTTTTTAGTTCTATATTTGTTCTTTAAATACATGTTTTTCACAAAAGTAATAACAATCCTCATAAACATGATAGTATAACAAGTCTTATACACTCACCTAAAAGATTATTAGGAGCACCATGCTAACACGTGTTTGACCCTCTTTCGCCTTCAGAACTGCCTCAATTCTACGTGGCATAGATTCAACAAGGTGCTGAAAGCATTCTTTAGAAATGTTGGCCCATACTGATTGGATAGCATCTTGCAGTTGATGGAGCACATCCAGGGCATGAAGCTCTCGTTCCACCACATCCCAAAGATCCTCTATCGGGTTGAGATCTGGTGACTGTGGGGGCCGTTGTAGTACAGTGAACTCATTGTCATGTTCAAGAAACCAATTTGAAATGATTGGAGCTTTTATGACATGGTGCATCATCCCGCTGGAAGTAGCCATCAGAGGATAGGTACATGGTGGACATGAAGGGATGGACATGGTCAGAAACAATGCTCAGGTAGCCCGTGGCATTTAAACGATGCCCAATTGGCACTAACAGGCCTAAAGTGTGCCAAGAAAACATCCCCCACACCATTACACCACCACCGCCAGCCTGCACAGAGGTAACAAGGCATGATGGATCCATGTTCTCATTCTGTTTACGCCAAACTCTGACTCTACCATTTGAATGTCTCAACAGATATCCAGACTCATCAGACCAGGCAACATTTTTCCAGTCTGTCCAATTCTGGCAAGCTCGTGCAAATTGTAGCCTCTTTATCCTATTTGTAGTGCAGATGGGTGGTACCCGGTGGGGTCTTCTGCTGTTGTAGCCCATCCGCCTCAAGGTTGTGCGTGTTGTGGCTTCACAAATGCTTTGCTGCATTCCTCGGTTGTAACGAGTGGTTATTTCAAAGTTGTTCTTCTATCAGCTTGAATCAGTCGGCCCATTCTCCTCTGACCTCTAGCATCAACAAAGCATTTTTGCCCACAGGACTGCCGCATACTGGATGTTTTTCCCTTTTCACACCATTCTTTGTAAACCCTAGAAATGGTTGTGCATGAAAATCCAAGTAACTGAGCAGAATGTGAAATACTCAGACCCGTCTGGCATCAACAACCATGCCACGCTCAAAATTGCTATTTTTATAGCTACCTTTTTTTTTACCATTCTGACATTCAGTTTGGAGTTCAGGAGATCGTCTTGACCATGACCACACCCCTAAATGCACTGAAGCAAATGCCATGTGATTGGTTGATTAGATAATTGCATTAAGGAGAAGTTGGACAGGTGTTCCTAATAATCCTTTAGGTGAGTGTATTTCTTCATGCATTATCACTAAGTTTAGTATTAACTTCCGTTTAGCGCTGTCGCAGTTGTTAGGCAACGGGACATACCATGGGGCAAGAGTAAATAAGAAGACTAGACGTCAAAATTCAACAGCCGCTCATTTCCTTCCTGCCTTAGTGGTCGAGAAAGGACCCGACCTACATGGCCAGATGAGAACGGGTCCTCACAAGGATCTTGATGTGTGTGTGTGTGTGTGTGTGTGTGTGTGTGTGTGTGTGTGTGTGTGTGTGTGTGTGTGTGTGTGTGTGTGTGTGTGTGTGTGTGTGTGTGTGTGTGTGTGTGTGTGTGTGTGTGTGTGTGTGTGTGTGTGTGTGTGTGTGAATCACAGACTATTTGGAAGTAGATAAAGAAATTTTTGAAAGTATCAGATTAGGAAAACGAATAAGCATTAAATCAGAATGTTTTTCATTTGGAGCTCTAGTTTTATTAGAAAACAACATCCCTGCTTTACAAAATGTGATTTAAATATTTTAATTAGTGAAAGATGATTTAGAATAAGAAAACAATAAAAATTGAATGAAGTTTTATCTCCTACAGGAATTAAAAAGCAACAAAGGCTTGAAATGATGTTGGACTTGTTGACAGCAGACTGATGTGGAGTAACTAGTAAAACACGGCAGACATATTGATTTATAAAAGTCAGCCAAGCTGTGGGGTATTAAAATGTGTCCTAACGGTGACATCGGGGATTGTTATGTCTCTTTTTTAAACTCAATACAACCTGAGGTAGAGTCACAGAAATGTAATGTTTTTCTTTCTGATTATTTACTTTATTCTCAGGAGCAAATTTTTTTCCACACGTATCAAACGTGACCAAGAGAGGATTTAAAGGATCAGATTACGTCTGAATGTCTCTTTGTGTTATTTTTGTTGCCGTATTGCACCTTGGTCTCAGACGTGAGGAAACTTGTTCCCCTCAGAGCTAAAACCAGTATATCACTGGGACAATCTAAGACTGGTTGGACACCAAATAGCAAAGAAAGTGCAAATTTAGTGCTTGCTTAAGTTAAAATCTGCAAACAAATTGAGAATTTTACAAATATCTGGCTTATTTTCCTATTTTCAAATGCAGTCACAAAATTACTTGAATTCCTATTTTTTATTTGCTTTTCAGTTGTTCCGTCTCACAACCGGAACATAGGATTATTTTTTTTGTGTCTCCAATCAGTCACAACTTAGGTCACATTCGGTCTGCAGGTCTGTGTTTAGATCAGATCTTCTTATTTTGTTCACATTTTAATTTAAAACATACCCTTCTATTATGACATTGATTTGCAACTCGAGTAAACCACGAGGGAGGAGAAAATAATCAGTTTGTTTTGGTTTTATTATTGTTCAAAAGCCAGATCATAATTCTAACTAAATTTTGAGAAACTGAGCAGACCTAATCATGATCCTAGTTTGTCTTGGTCACCTTAATATTGACTGCAAATGTCTGTCTTGTAGTCTGCCATTCTGCTGTTCCTTAAAAAAAACAACATCTGGTGTAAGCTTAGTAGCCACGCATTTGTGTTAATGAAAATATGCATCTTTTTGTGTTTGAATGATTAAAATGCTGGCTGTTACCTTTAACTTGAATTGTTTATGCTAAGCTAAAGCTAATGGCTGGATCAGGAGAATGACTGGGCTAGTTACAAAAGGCTCTTTCCTACTTATCTATCTCTGGGCAACATGGCAACAGACTAAAATGTTACTTAGGGGTGGATTATCCTTATTAAATGCAGTGTGGACACAAGACCCTGGTAAAAATGACCACAGACACTTTTTTAGGTCTGTTTAAATCATAGGAGATAATATTTTAAAAAGAAATACTTCAAACTGCTCTGCTTTGCAAAGCTGCTATAATACTGGGCTTAAATCAATTACTAAGTGGGGGAGATTTGCTGCATCTTCCCCTAAAAATAGCAGCAAGTGCACTTCTTAGATGAAGGATGCTAGTTGTGTCGTTAACCACCTGGGAAGCCTTTTGATCCCCGTCTTTAGTCTTGCAGGCTGTGTCTTTTCTAAAACAAGGGATAAAAGCTTTGTTAGATGATCTTTTGTTGGCTCTTGTGTCTCTTTTCACGTGACATCTCTGTTCCAAAGACGAGGGGAAATGAGGACAAAGCAGCATAACTGGGGCAAGCTTTCAAACAGCAGGTTTATCTTTGCTAGTGGGATGAAAACGCTTTAAAAACTTTGAAATCTGGGAGCTGCAGAGATGTAAAACAGCTTAAAGTGTGTTTTTTTCTGTAGCAGAATAAACCAACTATCCAGGATTTTAATAACCAGACAGATTTTCCTCTCTTTCTTCCTGTTGGTGGTATTAACATTCCTTTTTCATTCACTTTTTGAGACCTAACGCGTCAGACACAGCAGCTAATCAAACCGAGTTTAGTCATGCAGGCTAATAAGTTGGAACCAGCAGATGGAGCCAAGCCTTTAGTCATGTCCTGAAGACAGGCTTCAAAGCTGCTTGACTCACACCACATGACAAGGTGTCATTTGCCTCCAGTCATTCTCCCACTGCATAATGCCATTATGTGATAGGTATATAAATCATCCCAACGTGAGTCCTCTGGATGCAAGTCAGACATGCAGCTGCTTCATGCCAAGCGTAAAAACAACAGTCATGCTCATTTGGATCTATAAATCTACTTTAATGGCTAATTTTACATGGTTAAAATCATGGAAATTAAATCTTTTTTTTGGTCCTCAGAACGCTCAAAAGCTAAGTTTGATTTTCTGCTCAGGGTTTTATGCATTATGTAAAAGCACACATCTTTTCTAGTAAATATGGCGGGTTTTTACGGGATTTTACTAAACTCGATACCCCCAATATAAATATATATATATAATAACAGATAGAATTATTGAGCAAGTAAACATAGACATTTGAAAGAAATATCAGAGAAAAAACACTAAACTTTATGAAACATGTCAAGCGTCATCTTGTATTTTTGTAATATTTGTCTTATTTTCCTAATACGGTGTACTGTAACTGTTAGAGTGCAGTGTAAAGTCTAACTCAATGATTTCAAATCCCTATAAATAAATAAATTCTTGTCCCAGGTTTTGAAATTGGTGATCAAACTGCATCATGTGAGGCTCTTGGTGGACTGCCCACCCTAGGATGTGCTAAGGCACTGCACGTCTGTGTAGCAACTGGACATGTGCAGGAATATGATTTCATGATAATAATAAAAAAAACTGTGTGCTTTCACCCTCACTTGTCATGTCTTTCATCTTGGTGTTTTTCTCCATTTGATTTTGGATGTCATGGCTATCTGAAAACCTCACCTGACTGCGTCCTCGCCGCTTCATCGCTCATTTTTCCCCACACATTTGCACCACGCCTGCCCTCCCTCCATCTCCTTCTTCCGTTTGTCCCCGTTGCCACTCTCCTCCTCCACACTCCAGAGTTTCCTCAGTAAAAGGTTGAAGGGCTCAATCAAGAGGGCCAAGAGTCAGCCGAAACTGGACCGAACAAGCAGTTTCCGCCACATGATCCTCCCCCGCTTCCGCAGTGCCGACCAAGACAGGTCAGTGAGAAAATGTGATTGGTTTGTTTGAGTGTTTTAGACCGCCGCTGTGGGATCTTTACCTAGCCTGGCCTGCCAGACTCGTCCTCTGTTTAATCAGAGAACTGCTGAGGGAAACTTCCCACGAATGATCAAAACTTCCACATCCTTACTACCTTTGGTTAAAATTTGAGTTGTGGACATTTATTATTACAAATGTCAACCACTTCCTACATACTGAGTATGTTTGTCCTATAGAAAAAAGGCCTTTACGATTGTTAACACTTTTACAAGCAAGTCCCAGAAAACTCAAACGTTCTAATTAAAGAAACAAAAATATGAAGAAACCTTATTACCTTAAATCACATCAAAACTTGTGTTATTAAAATTATTTAAAAAGGCAAAAATAGAAAATTAGTTTCTTTTCTTACGCCTCCTTCACTCTGGAGGCATTAGCGGCGTGGAACGGCAGCGGAAAGGTTTACTTGCGTGCTTCGCTGCGCACCCGTCCACGCCGGGAGTGTGTCAGACATGGAGTGGCTTCACCGCCGTCCTCCTCATCGGAATCACAAGCACCTGGGTCATAACAAAGATCACAAAATCCCTCGAGACTTCAACGGTCATGGTTTGTTTATGCCACCCGCCATTAAACCAAAAAGAAGAAGGAAATCACGCTTGATATCACTGTTTGATGTCATTCCTCTCCAGGATTAAAGCCCTGACAAACACACTGTTGCTCTTCTCAAAATATGCTGGGAGTAAAAAGCGGTTAGGTCACTTGTATTGGCAGAATCTATATAGATATGAAATTACATTGCTGCAGTAATCTTTTATTTTGAAAATTACTGGATGTTTTACACTGAAATTGTGTGTGATTTCCTGTCTAGCCCTATGCTGAAATTGCTGTGTCCCAGAAGCGGCTCGTGGTGAAAATAGAACCCAATCCTATCTTTAGTGGCACAGCGCTAATGCTTCTGGGACACACCTGAAAATTTCCACGCTGCGGCTGGTTTGGATCAACCCCATAGACCAGGGCTATTCAAGTTTGGGCCTAAAGGGTCGGTATCCAGCACGTTTTAGTGATTTCTCTGGTCTGACACACTAAATTGAGTGGTTGAGTCACCTGTGGAACAGCTCATCAGGCTCTGCAGAAGCCTGTTAATCACCTGCGGATTGAAATCAGATGTGTTGAAGCAGGGTGAAAACTAAAACATGCTGGATACCGGCCCTCGAGGCCCAGAGTTGAATAGCCCTGCTACCATAATGGATTATATTTGAAGCAGCGGCGTTTCGCTGCCGTTCCGCGCCGCTGATGCCTCAAGTGTGAAGTTGGGGTTACTGCAAACATTTAAACTATATTTATACCCTGAGGGTTTAGGGCTCTGTTGTCCAAAACTACAAGAATATGTTTTTCATCCAAAGGAGGGAAAATGTACAATACTTCCATGAAGTGTTTTGTCTAAAAAAGGTTATGTTTAATTAGCACATCGTAACCATTTATTTGCAGTCTAAAGTGTTTTTAAAAAGGGAAAAACTACTTTAAAGAGCAAGTCACCCCCAAATCAACTTATTTTTGCTGATAAATACATAAATGAGTGTCGAATCGTGCTGAAGACGTGTACATGTGTGTTTGCATCTTAGTTAGAATTGAAATATTATGCCTTAAACTGTCAGTGTTGCGCCCTCTTCAGGTAAAATATCTGCACTACGTTTAAATATAAATCTGCCATCACTATTGGCTAAGAGGTACCCTATGATGTTAACGGGTACCATATGATGTCACAATGTCATTGTGAGCCTGTGTGTGTGTATTTGTTAGCGGCTCCTTCCTCTAAAGCTACCAGGCAATGCCTTCTCGTGGTGCATTTTTCAAACAGGAAATGGGAGTGGAGTAAGACTCTGGTAGGGGGTGACTTGCTTTTTAAAAAGTTCTAAAAGAAAGAGAAATGTAGATGAAATGTCTTGAAATGATTAGAAAAGTAAAGTTAGAACTTTTTTTCTGTTTAGACCTGATTTTTACTTTCTAGAGATTTTCTGTAACTAATAATATTTTCACATATCCCTATATACAGAGGCTTTAAATGCATCAGTTTTACACATGTGGTTGTAATGAGTTCATTAGGTCAAGATTTAAATAAAGATTCATGGGAGTCTTTTGTGTTTTTAAGGGCTAAATTAGACATTTCTCTTTCATTGATATGATTTGATTTATTTACACTTTACAAATTAGTTTCTTTAACTTGACATTTGAACCTTTTGTTATTGTTTGTAGAGAAAACTCAAAAGTCAGCTTTTTTTTATGTAGAACTGAGAGCTGAAATAGTTCCCAGGAAACGTTTTACCTGGTCAAAGGTCTGCTCCCATTAGCAAAAAAGAATATAAAAGGTTTGAATTCAAAAATGAAAATTTCAGAAGTTTTTCATATTGTTTCAGGATCTAGAACTCGTGTTCTCAAACTCAGAGAAAATAAAGTGGTTTTTAGTTTAATTTTGCTTTAAAATTTCCACCATGATTTTAGCAATAAAATCCATCACTCACCTGATGAGTCCTGATGGATCTAGTTCAATATATCCATCTTTTGTAAGAGAGCATTATAACGCTTACAGTTGCAACACTCAGCATCACCTCTGCAAACACATCCCCTCTGTCACCATAGCAACCAGCAGACGGCTGTATGCTTACTGTACAGACCATAACGAGTCAGTGGGAGATCTGTGTAATTATACCTCCTCTGTGTCGAGTGGCTAAGATTTCCCAGCTGCCCCGGGGGCGTGGGGCTGATGTGGTTTAGTGCAAATATTCTGCCTCATGGTGACTTTTTGTTTACCAAAAATGAGTTCTAAAATAATTTAACCAAGGTTTTTAAATACACATGTAGAGCAAACTCTATAGTAAACGTGGACTTAATTACTTTAAGGAGGTAAAGCTCAAGCTAATGTTGATGCTAGAATGTTATTAAAGTCAGTGTGCAAAAGAAAAGCTTGACTCAGGACACAGGAGCATGACTCAGGGTCATAAGTCAAAGTTACAAGGAGCTGACCTCTGGTTTAAAGGACTTTTAGTGTATCGATCATCTTATTTAGTCCCTTCTGTCTCCTCCTGCTGGACCGGCCTTTATGTCTGTCTTCAGTCTGATTGGAGGACAATTGTCCTATCAAGGAGCGTCCAGAAAGGTGCCCAGGCAGGTCTCCTCGTGATTTATTCATCTGTAAAAATTCTGAATCGAAAACTAATATCAAGAGCCTTGAGAAGAGGAGCTTGTAGGAAGTATTTACAAATTCTGCTTTGCTGTCAGAGACTGGTGAACATCTGCAGCGTTGTTCATTTATACTCAGAGTGTATTTTTATCCATTGATGTGATGAAAGTGGGACATTTACTGTTGTGGATCCGATTCCTGCCGGCGTTAAGCTGCCTATAAGCTCCCAACCTGGTCGTAAAAACATGCAGCAATGCATATTTTTTCAAAGTTTTTTTTTCTTTCTGTGGAACGAGCAGAGACCACCAGTTTGGGTTTATGTATATAACAGAAAAGCACATCCAATGATTTATGTTTCTGATCAGCCTGATCAGTTAACCCTGCTGCAGCTCAACGTTCATCAGTTCATACGGAGATACCATGGTGGTGGTGGTGGTGGAGGGGGGGTGGGGGGGGTGGAGGGAGACAGACAAAGAAAGAGGGAGGGAAGTAGAAAGAGAGAGGCGACCAGAAATTTAAAGTCCTCATTCAACAAACTTCTTATTTATTTGTTTGTTTTTTTGTTTGTTTGTTTGCTTATTTATTTATTTATTTATAATTTTATGAAGTCTTAGTGATGAAAGTTGTTTTCTAATTTGGGTCATGCAGTAGTCCAGACAGCTTCATGGTGTGGCAAAGCAGGACAAAAGAAGGGAGGCTGGATGGCAACAAGCCTGGACCTCCTGATTGAAATATTAGAAAATCCCTTTTATGTTAATGGGCTCAACAAATTACCAACAAAAGCACAATAAAATGCTTTATAGTTTGATAATTTGATCACTTCCTTGTTTAACCAATTAAACAATAAGCCATTGATTATACAAAGAAGTGGTCTCCCGACAAAAGCAGTTCAGCTGAAGCTAGTTGAGAAGATTTTTATTAGACTAGACATGGAATAATAACTTCTAATCATCATCCTCCTAAGTTCCTCAGACCCTTTTATCTGAAGCTGTACGTGGATCCCTCAGCTGAAGAGCACCGGAGGTATTTATACTGTTTCACAACCCAGGAAAAACTCGTGCTTGCTGTTTTTGACGTAGATGCTGCAGATCCAGAAGCTGGATCTGTTCATTCTCTGGTGTTTGTTTGTAGAAGGAGTTAAAGGTGATGTTTGTGGTCTGTGGTGGGAAAATAGATCATGTTCTCTCATTGAGCTTCCCTCTCAGGTGCTCTCACCTGTCCTGATGTGTTGCCGACAGCGTGAGAGGTGATTGTAGTGTGTCTCCTCTGAGGTTTGTGATGGAGACCTTGTTTTTGTCTCCAGCCCTCCTGCTGACTCCTCAATCCCTCCGTGCTCCTCGACCCTCGCATCCCATTCCTCTAATCCGCTCTCACACCTTCGCTGTTGACAGAACCAACTGGATTTCCTCTGAGAGGTCTTCTCACCACCTCCCACCCCACCCCTGTTCTCTTTCATCTGACTCATTCTTTTGCATCTATCTCTATTTCTCCCTCACCCTGCATCTTCCCCTCCTCGCTTCTCCACACGTGATCAGCGCTCTGCTGATGAACGTTACCAGTGAAAGCTGTGTGAGAGCAGCAGAGGGACGAGTGAACAGAGCTGAGGATTTCTTACTTCCTGGGGGGTTGACTTCATCACACAAGACCAGCACTCTCTCTTATGACATCAGATGTTTGTTGCTGTGTGACCGTCAGCTGCTTGTGCCTGTGAGCATGTCAGGCACATGTAATTTAATTTAATCATTTTAGAAGGTGAAAACACTCTGGACGCATGGTGGAATTTATGATTTCAAACGGGATTAGATTAAATCAAATGTGTCATTTAGATGTGGTATTTTCAGAATAAAAGCACAAGAACTGAAAGTTTTTTGTTCACAATTAATCCAGCATCTCACCAGAAATTGTTTTCCACATAAATTAAAATAAAAACTTTTCAAGTTTTCAAGTTTACTGGATGCAGTTAAATTTAATAAGCAAACATTCAAAAAAACTAAACATAAAGCAAATCAAGGAAATCAGCCTCAGAATGACTGCTATAAAACTAGTGGTACGTTCTTGCTGTGTCAGATTTCTAATTCCATTTTTTGTTTGTTTTATTGAAACACAGAAAAGATTTCTCTTTACCTTGCTTGCTGACAGTTTCGTTCGCGGCTGCAAACTTCCTCGGAGCTGACGCTGATGGTGGCGTCACACATTCCGTTTATCCGCGGGCAGCAGAGGATAAACGGAGTGGATGCAAGACCTTACCTTTCCCTCCAGCAAAATCAATGGAACAAATATATGCACACCACTTGATCTGCTGTGAAAATCTGCTCTTCTGCCCACCACTGTGCTTTTTATGTCTTTAGTTTGAACCTATTACCTTTCCAGCTGTTTCATGTTGTTGCGGGCCTTACCCAGCCTTGGAAAATGGATAAAAAAAAAGGTCCCCTCTGACATCTGATCTGGGCATCTAGAGTCTGATTAGCACCTCCCCCGACAGTGGTGTTTACTTCCTTCCTGTTTGAACATATTTAGGACACAAAACTACAACTCTGAGACAAGCGGAGCAACTCAGACACATAGGCACCCATGCAAAATACACGCTTGCTTGTTTAGGGCTTCATCCCAAAATGCATTGTGACGTTATTGTTATGGTCTGCATCTGCGTCTCCCCTCATGTGTCTCCTTGTGTTCTCCATTCATCTCTAGGTTCTCCTGTTGTGTATCCTAGCACCCTCTTGTGTCATTGTCCACGTCTTCCTCATGTGTTCCCAGAGCTGCAGCCCCTCTAGGTTTTCCTTCCCCCCCAGGTATCTCCCTCCAAGTCCTGTGCTCCCCGTGGTCCTCCTTAGTCACGATCCTGTAGTTTCTCTTTCTGTGTTCCCAGATCTACAGCCCTCCAGATCATCTCTCCCAGGTCCTGTGTTCCTTTAGTCTTCCCCAGTCACCCCTCTGCAGTTTTTATAGTTTTCAGCTTTCATTTTATTAGTCTCTTTAGTGTGTTTTTCCCCACCGGTGTTTGTAGTTTTCCTTCCCCTTAGAATATTAGTTATGTTGCTGCTTTTCTTGTCTTTAGGTTTTACTCTTAGGTCATGTTAGTTTCCTCTCTGATTAGTTATTGCTTTCACCTGGTTCTCTCCCCACACACCTGCAGCCCATCTGCCTCCCATCATGCCCCAGTGTATAAAGCCCTGTCTGTGTCTCAATATCTTGTCGGTCCATTGTTTTGTGTCAGCGTTGTTTTGTGCTCTATGTGATCTTTTGTGCCTTGTCTCTTGGTTTAGTGCTCTATGTGAGCTTTCGTTCTCCTGGTGATCAGGACTTTGTTTTTGACTTCCTGCCCTTTTGGATTTTTTGGTTCCTCGTCCTAATAAAGAAAGGATTTTACTTTTAAACCGCTCCTGCCTCGCTTCTGATAAACTGATTATATTATATTTTAAAAAATTTATTAAAACTGACGAAAAAGGGAAATTATGATTTGTTTGATGTTTTCGTTCTTAACAATACATTTTCATAGCTATTTTATTTTATTGATCAATTATATGAAGGTGGTTTTGTAGGTTTTGTGTTATAATAAATAATTTTTTGTATCAGTATTTTTAACCCGTATGGCTCTGTTTTATGATTCAGCTTCAATGTATTCATTTAAATCTAAAACAAAAGAAAACTCCTTGAATAAGAGTTGTGCTTTCTCTTCTTGATGTGGTCCACAAACCCAACTCTTAAAATGTTGTTTTAGTTCATTTATTTAGCATTTTGACGTAGTAGCACATCTAACCAACTGCCCCTCTCCCAGGACCCGTTTGATGCAGAGCTTCAAAGAGTCTCACTCCCATGAGTCTTTGCTGTCTCCCAGCAGCGCCGCTGAGGCGCTGGACCTCACCCTGGACGAGGACGCCGTCATCAAACCCGTCCACTCCAGCATCCTGGGACAGGAGTACTGCTTTGAGGTGAGAGCTGAGCCGCGTGGTGAGCGAGCAGCAGCTCTCTCGCACATCAAAGACACGACAGGCATCAAAAACATTCCCACCTGACAGCAGAAACATGTTTTTGTCTATCAAAAGTGAAACAAAGCCTTAGTTTTATTAAGTTCTCCATCACTGTTTTCATTAATGGAAACTGACAGAAGCTGAGAGTGAATACAAGCAACACTGTTGCTGTCTCCATGGTGACTAATGGCTGTGGTACCATTGGCTATAACCTCAGGTGACAACGGCATCAGGAACCAAGTGCTTTGCGTGTCGCTCAGCTGCAGAGAGAGACAAATGGATCGAGAACCTGCAGAGAGCTGTCAAGCCCAACAAGGTGAGGGGAGAGAAAGGGATGCGGTCGAGGAAGGAAAACAATCAAAGAGGGATGGATGATCCCTCTGTCTGTGTGTCTCTCTCTCTCCTCCCGTCTCCTGTTGTTGTTTGTTTTCAGTAAGAGCGCACCGCTTCATTTCTCTGTGTGAACTCCATCCTCATGTCTGTGTGTGTCTGTCTTGAGCAATTTTCGTGGCGTCTCCAGGCAAGTATCAAAGGTTTCAGTGCAGAGGATTCCAATTGCAGTTTTGGAAACCCGCTAATCGGGTAATGTGATTTCCGTAGAGGGTGCTCAGGGTTGATACGTGCTGGGAAAGCTGGAGCTTGGTGATGCCGCATGGATGAGAGGACCGAGTCCAGGTTCCTCTCATGTGTGCTCCTAATTGGTACCAAAGGACAGACTCCTAAAAAAAATACTCAGCAGATGACCGGATGAAGCTTCTTCCTTCTAACACAAAAGAACGTCAACCAAACAAGCACACAAATAGCTGGAAGAGCTTCTGCTGCAGGCTGTTGTCACATTAAATGCTTCCATAGCTGCTGCTTCAGAGCACTTTTCTGTTTACGCCATCAGAGAGAATTCCGACTCCTTGACCACTACCATGAACGGTGATCATCTTCTTTACTCCTGATTTCTCTTAAAACAACTAGACCAGAGTGTTTCTGACCTCAGGCACTTCCTATGAAGCTGTAATCAGATGGCTATTTCAGCCGTGCTGAAGTGTGTTTCTGAGTGAAAGTGATGAATAATTATATTTTCCAAGTTTCAAAGCTGGGAAGAGGATCAGCACCTTTAAATGTAAGGTCACAGTTCCTAACGGGAAAAGGGTGGATCAGAGGAGAAGTCAGGCAAGGATAGAGGGCCAATCAGGACAGCAGGAGCTAAACTGTGTTATTTTCATTCACCACTCAGTCTGTCACAGTCACTGTGTATTTGGAGGAGACATGCATCTGTCAGTGAGACCCTGGATGGCTGTAGTTAGGATTTAGCTCATCACCACCTGGGTGGGTGAGTGACTGGTTGTGTTGCAAAGTGCCTTGGGGGTTGTAGAACCATGGAAGGTGCTATATAAATACAGATCATTTAACATTTTACCATTTACATTTAACCTTTACTCATGAGTTGAAACAGAGGAATAACCGCACTTTTTCACCGGACGCATAAGCGCAATGTAACTTCTCCAAAACGTAGTTGGCAACTATTAGTCCCTGTTATAGTTGATGGGTGTGTTTCCACCAGCTGCAATGCATCACCTTTTAGACGTATCCCAGAAGCATAGGGATGCATCGCTTATGCTTCGAGTCTATGGCTGTTTCTCAATACACAAGACGCTAGCACATTCTTGTGTACTAGACAAGTATGTTCTTGGCAAGGTCACCAGAAAGTCTGTTCTACCGAGTGCGGGAGGACGAGGACGGCATTTGGAACAGAACCGTACTGCGTTGTGTCATGGCAACATGTGTTGCTTCTTGCTACTGTTAAAAAATGACCTGACATAAAAATAAAAGTCTAGCTTGTTCCTTAAGTAACAAAATAACAATAAAAATGTATTAATTGTATTATATTTGGCCCACTTTTGATCAAAACTATTCAAATACCAGCATTTCCCACTTTTTAATGAAAAACTTTTTTTTTCATCAGAACAGAGCTACTGTGCTTTTATTTTGATAGTGGGTCAGCTAATTAGCATTTTGAAAGATCATCAAGAGTAAAATCCAAACACACATGGCAAAATTTACAGTTTACTCATGATTATTTACAGTAACAGACAACTTTATATTATTTTATTTATATTTCTAATATAAAACATTACAGGTATTAGCTTTCTCCTCTGACGTTCGTAGTTTAGCGGTTTGCAACCTAATGCATTATGGGAAACTTTGCTGTCCTATGTTCGCAGAAGGATGCATTGATGCATCCTCGATACAATGGGTGGAGCAAGAACACATCCAGGAACTTTGAGCGAACTTGCCATTATGCATACATCGTTGATGAAGTTTCACAAGGACGTGAATACACACGTTCAGGCAAGTGTGCATATTGAGAAACGGCCTATTTTTTACAAGCTCTGATTCTAGAATGCATCAAGCTCAGCAGTTCAGATGGGGAAAGACAGGAAGTCAACCACAAAAGCAGTGTAAACTTTCACAATTAATATCATATGCAGATTTTGAGTTTAATTACTAGTAAAAAAAAAAAAGTATGTCATTACCTGTGAAACCTCTGTAGTCATGGTAAAAATAAACCACAGACCTCTCTGGATACTTGCTGCCTTGCTTGTTATTGTGTGAAATGCCAAAATCACACATGGCCGTGCAATTCTCTTCGCACCTGAAATGCTCCCTATGGTAAAGTAGCTTGCAGGTAAAACATGTTTATTACATCACTCCCAGCTGAAGCATCCAGTTGAAAGCCGGGGTAAGACAAACAAGAATGGGTTTCGGGGGAGTATTGGAGTAGATTCACTGCTCCTCCACTGTGAAGAGGAACCAGCTGAGGTGGTTGACCCACCGGGAAGAGACCCCGGAGCCAAACTAGGACACACTGAAGTGAATACATTTCTTTTTCTTTTCTTTTTTAAATTTGCTTGAAGTTTGGCCACACTTGGACTAGCCGTTAGCTCTTCAGTCCTGATGGATGTAAACTCCATCCATCCATTTTCATCCGCTTATCCGGAGTCGGGTCGCGGGGGCAGTAGCTTAAGTCGAGAGGCCCGGACTTCCCTCTCCCCAGCCACTTGGGCCAGCTCCTCCGGGGAAATTCCAAGGCGTTCCCTGGCCAGGTGAGAGACATAGTCCTTCCAAGGTGTCCTGGGTCTTCCTTTAGGTCTCCTCCCGGTTGGACGTGCCCGGAAAACCTCACCAGGGAGGCGTCCAGGTGACATCCTGACCAGATGCCCGAGCCACCTCAACTGGCTCCTCTCGATGTGGAGGAGCAGCGGGTCTACTCCGAGCTCCTCCTGGATGACTGAGCTTCTTACCCTATATCTAAGGGAGAGCCCAGCCACTCTTCTGAGAAAACTCATTTTGGCCGCTTGTATCCGTGATCTCGTTCTTTCGGTCACTACCCAAAGCTCATGACCATAGGTGAGGGTAGGAACGTAGATCGACCGGTAAATCGAGAGCTTCGCCTTCTGACTCAGCTCTCTCTTCACCACGACAGACCGGGACAACGCCCACATCACTGCACATGCAGATTCTTTTGCTTTCTTGGAATTATTTATAACTTTTACACAAAAATACTTCAGATCAACTAAAGATCCTTTTACAGCAGGCAGACAGGGATGTGATAAATCAAGTCAGACATTTTTATCAATTTTTTCCAGGCGAAGGATATTTTTTGTCATGGTGGAGGGGGTTCTAGTACGAACCCAGATGCAGGAAGAAAAGCCAAGCTCAAGTTGAGGACTCCTCTGTTCTTTTAATAACAACAAAATCACCACACACAGTGAGGAAAAGCCAACACAGACGGTAATACTCTAGTGGACTAACACGAGGTTTGCTAGCGCTTAGCCCAAACACACAAGACAATGCCACACTGAGGACAGGCAACTGTGGCTTAAATCTGGGTGGTGATGGGAGATTGCAGACAGCTGCAACACTCCAGGGAACACCACAGGGGAGGGGCAGAGCGTCCGGCCACAGCTGATCTGCACAGAAACACAAAACACAGAAATGAGCAGGAGAATATCGATAACCAGAATGGATACATTAAAACAAAAGGAGAAGGAATAAATCAAAACAGTTTTGCATTTTTTTTTCATCTTTGCTTCTCACAAAAAATCTAAAAGAATATATCCTAAATCTTCTAAATTGGGGAAAAAAATCAGCTTTTTATCCTTGAATTTTTTGTTTTAAAACTACAAACTAAATGTTCTGAATGTACAATTGAACAAAGAAACAAGTCTGTAAGTACGTCTACTTCAGTTAGAAGAAAAAACCTGAAGCTCTCAAATGTATTAAGATAAAACTTGAGTTTTGTTGTCTACAATCCCTTTTTACAGATGAAAAGCTGGAGTTTTGTTTTCAGCATATCTTTAGAATCTCAGTTTGCCATTTTGGCACCAGTTATTCCCACCCTGGTTTGTTTCCCATAATCCCCCTTGGTAAAGTGAGCAGACATGCAGGACACAAGGTTCTGATAGCAACCGGAGACAAAAGACAAGTAAAGACAGTCTGAGAGGAGGCATTATTCAGGCTGGACGCCTGGCCCAGATGCTTGGACCGCAGGGATCCTGGCTGACTCATCCATCTCCAAGGATTCCTAACAGGTGCTTAGGAACCTTTTTCTACCCCTTAACGTCACAAACTGTTCATCTCTGACCAGATGTAACCACAGTGATAACCACAGAGACAAGAATGATCATAACTAACCCAACCCTTATAAGTCCATTTTCATCCTTTTATCGTTTAGTTCTCATGTAGAAGCAAAGACGCCATTCCACCCTGACTTAGAGCTTTAATAATCTGTGTTGTAAAATCATGATAAGAGAAAAGATGAAAGTCACTGCTTGACATCAGAGCGGAGAACTCTGGCTCACGCTGGTGCTGCAGCGCAGCGTGAGCTCCGGCAAATCGAGGCACCAGATGCTCGGAAACATTCAGACTCTCAGGTTTGGAATTCATTATTGCTCGTGTTTGGTACCGGTTTGAAAATTGCACACAAACTATAAATCCAAACACCTTAGATTGTGATGATAATAGCAGGAAGAGAGGTTAAGATTAGAAGTTGAGTGATCGGAGGCAAACTAACATGAAAGTTTTCAGTCCAGCTGAAATGATTCAGCCTCTCTCTCTCTCTCTCTCTCTGTCTCTCTCTCTCTCTCTCTCTCTCTCTCTCTCTCTCTCTCTCTCTCTCTCTCTCTCTCTCTCTCTCTCTCTCTCTCTCTCTCTCTCTCTCTCTCTCTCTCTCTCTCTCTCTCTCTCTCATAGGAGTTGTCTGATGCAACTCAGGCTTTGTGATCATGATTAGAAAGTGTCCCTGCCTACAGAAACATTCCTACCATTTCTTGTCTTTTGTCTTCGCTGCACATGTGCATCGTGGGTTTTGTTTATGTCCTGAAGTTGACGAGTCTTTCTTTTTCCCGTCATAGTTCTTTTGTGTGTCTGTCATGCTGGTTTCTGCCTCTGTGTTCAAGTTGAGACCAACAGCAACATATCAACTCCAGCCTGTTATTCACAGCAGCCAAATCATCCCGTCAGAAGCCATTTCTCTGCTGTCATTTACTCCGTTCCCCTGCAGGATGACCTGCTGTTGCCCAATGTTCACATTCTCCCTCTCTGCTTCCCGTCCTTGAAATGTTGTGTCAAAGATCTTTTATAGACCACCGAAAATGCTTGTTTGACCTGATTCCATCTTTGTGCAGGACAACAGTCGGAGGGTGGACAATGTGCTCAAACTATGGATCATCGAGGCCAGAGAGCTTCCAGCTAAGAAGCGCTACTACTGCGAACTTTGTCTGGATGACATGCTGTATGCACGCACCACCAGCAAACCCCGCACTGACACCGTTTTCTGGGGAGAGCACTTTGAATTCAACAACCTGCCAGCTGTTCGCAACCTTCGCCTTCATCTGTACAAGGAGACGGACAAGAAGAGACGCAAGGTTCAGTCTGAGGCTTGATTTTTATCTGATTAGCCTGTCAAGGAGGTTTTATTGGAATTTAAAGAGCAAGTCACCCCCTACCAGAGTCTTACTCCACTCCCACTTCCTGTTTGAAAAATGCAACAAATGATGTTGCCTGGCCGACCGAGAGGGCGGAGCTTCTAACAAATACACACACACACACAAGCTCACAATGACATTGTGACATCATAATGTACCAGCTAGCGTCATGGGTACCTCTTAGCCAATAGCGGTGGGAGATTTAAATTTAAATGCAATGCAGAGCTTTTACCTGAAGAGGGCGCAAAAATTGACCATTTTAGGCAGAACATTTAAATTGGAACTGAGGAGCACTAAAGTGCCAAATTATTGACTACGCATGTCTACAGCACGATTAGACACTAGTTTCTCAACAAAACTAAGTTAATTTGGGGGTAACTTGCTCTTTAAAGTAACCCTAAACAGTTTCCAGTTATACGTCCTACTGGGTAAAAATGGAATTACAGCTGTCCTAAACTACCCCTAAAGCAGCCTGCTGTAGCTAGCGCTAACAACGAGCTACTGCTAACATGAACCATCTCTGTTACAAAATAAGCCATGACGCAAAAAGGTCCACACTGTCAGATAAAAAGTATTATTTACAACTCCAGTTGCGACAAACTCAGGTTACCATCAGCCCGTTATTTCATAGCCTCCTTTAGCTACCTCAAACTAGTGTATGCCAGTGTTCACTCTGGTTTTAGCTTTTTGCTTCGCCTCCAAAGACATTACCTCCTGACTTTTACTTCCAGTCTACACCATGATGCCAACAAGAAAAGCAAACTTCTACTTTTTCTTCTTGCGTTTTTCATTGATGGTCAGAAAAAAAATAATAAAATAAGCTAACTGCTAGTCTTTATATTAGCTACTGGCTCAGAAAATAGCAAACATCCATTAGGCAGGCAAAGAGCGCCCCCTAGGGCATCTACATGCTCCACAAGACTGTTAAGTGTGGTTTCTGTTCAGCAGAGAGCTGTCCCATATGAAGTTGGTAAAGCTTCTATCTACACGATCACTAAACCCCCATTTTTAACAACTATTCATCATCATCATCATTTTATTTCTAAAGCACCCTCCACTACCTTTGCAGTAGCCCAAGGTGCTGTACACTATCATGATAAAACGAGACATTAACATAGTACAAAGGATATAAACAACAGTTTATTATTAAAGACAAACAAAAAACACCCAAGCAATAAACAAGATAAGTGATGATAAAAGAAACCAGAGTAAAAGTGAGTTTGACGATTCACTTTAGGAATTGCAAGACAATGAAAAGGTAAAATCACAACAAAACAAAGTTTGACTTTGGACTCAAAGGGAAAAGGTCAGTTGGTAAAAGTTTGTCTTTAAACGAGACTTATTGGTTTAACAGAAAATATGAATGAAGAAATATGATTAAATATTGATGCAAAACACATGCTTTCTAGATCAGCATCCCAATAAGGAATCACCTCACTTACAGTACTAAGTTCACAGTTTACAAAACTGCAGTTTGTTTAAAAATTAAACCTGAGAAGACTGAAATGATTATTCTGACATTAATTATAATTTTGAAATTGGATTATTAGGGTGAGACACTCAGTCATCCGGGAGGGGCTCGGAGTAGACCCACTGCTCCTCCACATCAGGAGGAGCCAGTTGAGGTGTCTCGGGCATCTAGTGAGGATGCTTCATGGACGCCTGCCTGGTGAGGTTTTCCAGACACGTCCAACTGGGAGAAGACCTAAAGGAAGACCCAGGACACGCTGGAGAGACCATGTCTCTCAGCTGGCCAGGGAACGTCTTGGGTTTCCACTGGAAGAGCTGGCCCAAGTGGCTGGAGAGAGGGAAGTCTGGGCCTCCCTACTTAGGCTGCTTCCCCCGCGACCCGACTCTAGATTAGCGGCAGAAAATGGATGGATGGATTATTAAGCGATAATCGGATAATCTAATCAGATTTTTTTTCTGTACCTGACTAACAAGCAATATAACAACAAGTACATATTTTCTCCCTTCTATAGTTAAAACAAAGTAGTTGTTTTTGCTTCCAGATTCAAAGATTTCAAGTAATTTGAACTTTTTACAACTTTTAGTCCTTTAATTATAGTTCTTTGAGCTAAATCCTATCAGCAAGTCATATCTGAACAAGAATCTGAAATCAGTGAAGTCAATGTCGGCGTTTGGAACCAGAATCACATCACTTGCAAAAAAAACCTCGTTTTCTCTTATTTTTTCTCATACATATACTCTTTTCACATATTTTGCTTCAAATTCTCAAACAAATAGATAAAAATAACATTAGTCTATAATATTTTAGATACCTCTATCCTTTCAGTTTAAGAGACTATGATCGATGTTTAATAATTCAGTTATATTTGTGGGGAAATCACTCTGAAAATATAACAAGCAAAAGGAAGCAAAACAAAATTAGAAAATCAAAGAAGATCCAGATATTAATTGATTGAGGTATCAAGAAATACAAGAGTCTTGCTTTTTAAAACTTATAATAAATATTATTTCACAAAAACTCTGTTTATTAAACATCAGTGAGGATATGAGGAGAAGGCATCACTAATTCAAAAATTTAAACATTCTCAGAAATAATTATTATCAAGCAAGTTAAAAAAATTTTACAATAGTATAAAAAATAATTAATTGAAATTCATCTCATTTTATTTAAACAAAGTTCTCTGACTTTCCCAATTATTCTTTTCCTCTAAGCTTACTCACCACAAGTGTCATTTTTTTATGTCCTGAAGGAAAAGAGCACATATTTGGGACTTGTCAGCATCCCCATCTCCAGCATCACTGGACGCCAGTTTGTGGAGCAGTGGTACCCGGTCATCCAGCCCAGCGTCCTCACGAAGGGAGCTGGAGTCGGAGGAGGGAAGATCATCAACGCATCGCTTCGCCTCAAATCCCGTTTCCAGACCATGAACATCCTGCCCATGGAGCTGTACAAGGAGTTTGCTGAGTACGTCACCAACAACTATCGCACCTTATGTTCCGTGCTGGAGCCCGTGCTGAGCGTGAAGAGCAAAGAGGAAGTGGCCTGTGCTCTGGTGCACATCCTGCAGAGCACAGGGAAAGCTAAGGTACTAGTTCCACTTCACTGGGAATATCTGAAAACAGAGAAGATGAAAATCAGTTACAACCACAATCCTCCCTTCCTGCAGGACTTCCTGTCCGACATGGCGATGTGTGAGGTAGACAGATTCATCGACCGAGAACACCTTATATTCAGAGAGAACACTCTGGCCACCAAAGCCATAGAAGAGTACCTCAAACTGATCGGACATAAGTACCTCAAAGATGCTATCGGTGAGTCAGAAACGAGTTTTGATAGAGAAATCCAAATGGGGAACAAAAAAACCATAAAGTTTTTCATTTGCAGTAACTAAGTAATGAGTGTACAAATCTGTGATTACAAGTTGACTGTCTCCATACCGTATCCCGTCTCCTGAATCGATCTGCTATCATATTTCCATTGTTTCTGTTTGTCCTTACTCTTCTCCAAATAAGTTCATTTCTACTGGCAGAGAAAGTGGGATTTAGACAAAATGCGTTTTTTCTGCTTTTGCCCAACGCTGACACATAATCCTTCGTTTTCCATTTTTGCAGGTAAAGCAGGTGCTCCTTTTATTTTTAGGATCAAGTAATTGGAGTGATCAATGCACCCTAGTTCTGTTGAATGCTGCTGCTTGAAACAAGTGAAAGAGAATTAGCACCTCAATAAAAACCTGAGAATTAATGTTCTTTCTCCATCTGAACTGGATTTCTTCTTAGAAGCAGTGGATTGTTATCAGGAGCAGGTTTTTGTTTTGTTTTGTTTTTGCAATAATAACTTTGAGCTTGTTAGTAATAAAATGTCACTTGCAGGGGAGTTCATAAGGGCCTTGTATGAGTCAGAGGAAAATTGCGAAGTGGACCCCATGAGAATACCACCTTCTGTGCTACCAGACCACCAAGCCAATCTGCGGATGTGCTGTGAGCTGGCACTCTGCAAAATCGTTAACTCCCATTGGTAAATTCTTAATTACCATCAAAAATAAATACAAAAAATGATTCATGAGCCTATTGGTTTTTCTGTCCACCGCTGACATCAGACGTCCTGTCTCTTCACAGTGTTTTCCCTCGGGAGCTGAAGGAAGTGTTTGCCTCGTGGAGGGTTCGTTGTGCAGAGAGGGGCCGAGAGGACATCGCTGACCGCCTCATCAGCGGCTCTCTCTTCCTGCGCTTCCTCTGTCCCGCCATCATGTCCCCATCCCTTTTCAACCTCACCCAGGAATATCCGGATGAGCAGACGTCTCGCACACTCACCCTCATCGCTAAAGTGGTGCAAAACCTGGCTAACTTCTCCAAGTCAGTAAAGCAGTTATCAGCTAACTGATGCAAAAATAAATTACTTAGATTAAAGCAGCAAGCTGAAGTATTTCTTTTATATGATGGCACCATCTAGTAGCTGACAAGCATATCACACCAAGAGTCGGTCTATCCGTTTTTTTAAGATGGCAACTTCACGTTTCTTGTTTATGAATGTGCATCTGTAGCCCACAACCAGAGCTAAAAACACGTTGTTTAACAAGTACTATTCTCATGCCGTGTTGTGTTTTCATATATTTATATTTTAAAGACTTATTTGTCTGTGAAAAGTTCATCAACTCTGCATCAGCCAAGGTACTTCCTTAAATTTGAAGCATGTAAGCGGTAGTCTAACGCTATTGGTTAGTTCTGGTCGGTACTCAGTTTCCTACTGCACAAAGCTCTGCGTGGCAGGGGGTGTGCTTAGTAAAAAAAAATATATATATATATATATATATATATATATATTAAAAGACGTTTTGCTTACATTATATCACAGTACATGATGAGACAATCACTTTAGCAGATTTCTGAAAAATCATAGATATATTCCGAAAGGGGAAAACTCCTGAATGCTGCTTTAACTGGAAATATTTAGAAAACCTATGCACTTTTTAATCAGATGCATTTAGTGTCTTTCTCAATTAAATATATAAAAATGTGTCTTCCTGTGCTAATAAATGGTACTGGTTCCACATAGCCTCTAAGGAGACACAAAAGAAACAAAAAATTGATATTTTTTTAAGTGCATAGTGTCTCATATACACAAGAAATGGCTTTTTTGTTTCATATTTTTACTTCTTTGCACCCATACGACTTTCAATCTTTCCTATACAAATCAAGCAAATTCATAACGTCATACATTTATGATTTCATGGTACTTTTAATAGAAACAAAAAGGAGGAAATGCTCATATTTACTGGGTGAAGAGTAATAAAAACCACATCATCCAAGTGATTTCTAAATCATAAATGGCATCTTTGTGAGAAAACTTTTAGATATGAATACAAACAGGTGCCAGTAATCACAGTGTCATCTGCATATTGGCAAACATTTGCGTTTAGGCTCATTTATCTTTACAACAGCCATATTCAAGGTGATATTTTCCATCTTTTAGTTGGCATTCATTTGAAGTGGTAAACTTTAAGTATTTGGAGTTTACATTACTGTAGATTATTTATTTATTATCATTGTTTTTGTTGTTGTTTGTGTGCATACAGTGAAAACCTGCTCTTTATTCACTCCTGATCACACAACAAATATTTCATGTTGTTATCGTTTATCCTGGTTCTATCTGCCAGAGGAAATGATGCATTTATGTAAAACAAAATATTCATTTCAGTGTGTGATATCTTTTTCATTCCTTTTGTTCTTTCCTTCAGGTTTGGCAATAAAGAGGAGTACATGTGTTTCATGAATGAGTTTTTAGAGATGGAGTGGGGCTCCATGCAGCAGTTTCTGTACGAGATCTCCAACCTGGACAGCGTCAGCAACGCAGGTGGCTTCGAAGGATACATCGACCTGGGCAGGGAGCTGTCCATCCTGCACAGCCTCCTGTGGGAGGTCATGGCTCAGCTCAGCAAAGTAAACGTCAAACACCAGCAGCCATGTTGGATTTTTAGACAATTAGGTATTGTCTATTTTGTTTCTAATTTGTGCCCCTCTAACCACAGGATGCCATTATCAAACTGGGTCCTTTACCCCGCCTCCTGAATGACATCAGCATGGCGCTGCGTAACCCCCACCTCCAGAGGCAGCCAAGCCACCAGACCGACAGGATGCAGGACAGACAGACAGACAGGCTGCTGTCACGACCCAGTTTCAACCGCGGCATCTCCTCAGAGTTCCAGAATCTCATGATGAGGGATCTAAACAGGTACGCTAGTGCCGTGGTCCTCTCGGGAGGATTCTTGTTTTACATCACAAGACGTTCATCAAACGTCTAAGCCGTATCTGATGGTCCTAAAGAACTGTACCAGATATGACTTCATTTTGGCTGAAGTCCATCATTTTCCCAGGAGCTTGTCTCACTAAAAGCACTAGAGAACATGTAGGAATTATCCAATTGTCTCACTGCCTTCAGAAAATACTAATTAAGAGCATTTCCTGATTCCATCCGTCCACAAATGAAGCTGAGATTGTGAGAGGACAGGAAATCAGGCATCTGTTTACTTTTCAGAATAAAACTCTGCAACCCATGATCGAATGGCAAATCCTAGCAAAACTGAAAGAGTAAAAATATAACAATACTTTCAGAGGACCTGATCCAGTGCAGGGTTTAATACTAATTGTATTAAAGAAATGTAAGGGAAAGAAAAAATGACATTTCATTTTGTAGGTTTTTGTACTTGGGCTGGTTTAGCTTTTGTTTCCTCTTCAATCCTACAAGTGTAATGTTTTATTTCTATTCAAAAAAATATTATTTTGACCTTTATTTTTTAAACATTTTGCCTTTTTTGACATTCCATTTTTATTCTAGAAATGATAGTTTCACTTTTTTGTGACATTTTGAGACATCATTGCAGTTATCAGATACATAAATGAATACCACAGAAATAACACATGTTGAACAGAAATAGCCCTGCTTATAAATTGCCTAAAGAAAGAATTAAAGGAATAATTTGCAATTTTTTTATATTTTTGAATCATTTTCTTGAGCCAGTACACTAAAATGACCATTTACATGGTAATGAAATGTCACTGAGCCCTCAACCCCCTCTGCTGCCAGAATATTACACTTGCAACTTCAGAGTGTCGGTTCGGTCTGTTGCTCTTAGAAAAATATTGAGCTGACACACCTGACATTTCAGCACGTTTCCTGCAGGTTTTAGATCATGAACACAGCTGATTTGTTTAATTTAGTGTTGAATCACTCTGTAAAAACTACTGAAGGCTGAGAGACGTTTCAGCTGTTAGACTGGGTGTCAAAAAGACAAACGCACAGTGAAGAGCTCTCAGTTCTACAAACAGACACTAGGGAGTGCTAAAAGCAAGCCAAAACTGCTTAATCTCAATTTGAAAATGTGTGAAAATTATATTAAACATTGAATTATCTGATCAAATTATTTTATTCTGAAAAACCTAAAGACAGGAAATCAGGAAATATTTCAGTCTCTCTGTGTTACCAAATGATTGGCTATAACTGGAGTTGTTGGTAGTTTTACTTTTGTAACAGACATGAGCATTTTCCCGTTTGTTTGGAGCTGCTGGTTGTATCAAATGTTCCTCTCGTGAATCCGTTTCTCTCCGATGGTTTGTATTCCAGCTCCATAGATATCACTCGTTTGCCTTCCCCTACCTCCACCGGAGGGGTGATGCCATCCCGCTCCCAGATGAGTTTTCAGGACCGTGACCACCCTCATCGAGCCTCCAAAGACATGTTTTACGTATCACGCCCTCCCCTGGCCCGATCCAGCCCGGCGTACTGCACGAGCAGTTCAGACATCACAGAACCAGACCCTAAGGTGAGTTTTATCATGCTGAACTGGGGGAATCATCATCCCATCCACTAGTTTTATCTCTCAAAGTGAGGTTAGTATGACGTGCATGTGAGTCATACTGAAAAGAAACTTGCCATCGTGTTGTCGAGGTTCTAGTTTACCATGACATTTGCTTTTTTTCCCACCGAATCACCACGCAACTCATCCTAGCGGTATTTCCTGGGAAATACTTTCAGGCATTCCGATTGCCAAGCAGGCCTCGCGGTAAAAACCCCCGCACCACCCTCACCCATATCATCTGTGCCCACCTGACATTACTAAAATACCAGGGGGCACATAAGTCTCTCATATCCCGTACTATCTAGGTGTTCAGTGTCAATAAAAGCGTATCTATGATGGACCTCCAGGATTCCCGAATGAACAGCGTGTCTAACCTGCAGTCGGTGGACATGCTCAACTCCTCCCAGGCCTCCATCGCCGGTATGGGCAGCTTCGGTGGGCTGAGCAGCGGAGGCGGTGGCGGCCTGGGGTCGGGCCTGAGCAGCCAGCTGCGGGCTGGTGGGAGGTTGTCAGCTGGCTCCGGCGGCTCCAGCATGTCCGGTGGCCTCCGGCTGAGCCAGCTGAGCCAGATGGGCACCACCACCGACTCGCTATCCCAGCAGCAGCAACAGCAGGCCGCCGCCATGCGCTACCCGCTTTCCTTCCAGAATCCCCTGTTTCATCTGGCGACGGCTGATGGGCCCCAACAACAGCAGCTCCATCACCAGCACAGCCGGGCTCAACCCCCAGCACCCCTTCTCCTGGCTCCTGAACCTGAGCACTCTCATCAAACCTACATCCCACAGTTTGCCCATGGAGGCTTCTCTCGCAGCGAGGATCTGTCCACCCTAAGGACCAGGGACAGTCACCTGGGTCAGCCCAGCATCATCCACTCACACAGCTACAGCGATGACTACAGCCGGGCCGACTACGCACGACGGCAGATGTCCATGCATGTGCAGGTAAACGTAAATAATTACATCTTGTATCTCTTATTGGGAACATTCACAATTGTTTAATATGGTGTCCTCACATTCCCTCTTTTTTTTTGTCCTGATTCCTTAATAACTTATGGGAAGTCGATCTTTCCTGCAGTCGACAGAAATCCTTAAGATCTCTGGAGAATCAGGAACCCTGAAACTTTGGTGTGCATTTGTCTTCTTTCCAAGGATAATCTCCAGCAGCAACAAGAAATGATGGGAATGGCCTCCCAGACAGGAACGTCCCACTCCTCCTTGGCCACCACCCCTCCATCCACAGTCCAGCCGATGCGCCAGAGTTCCGTTGCTCCACCCCCCAGCCAGCGCATCAAGCCCCAGACTTCCCATCAGCTGTCTGTCAGCGCTGCTGCTACACCCGCCGCATCCGGTAAAACCCGGCCGCAGAGCGGGAACCTCCTCCAGTCCCCAGAGTCAGGCTATGGCGGCAGACAGCACGGGCCCCGGCAGCTGTCCGTCAAAGACAACACAGCCCCCGGTCTTCCCCACCAGCAGAGTTCTGTCAGGGAAAGCGGGAGTCCCCAGGGGACCACCAGTCAGAGCACGCAGCAGTCTCCACAGCAGCAGTCTCAGCACCTTCTCAAACCCACCATGAGCAAACAGGTAACTCCTGGATTTTTCCTTCATGCTTTGAGTTTTCTCTCAGTTACTAACGGGCTTTTCAAACAAAAGTTCCGGTACTGAAACTTCTAGGTAATTTTACCATACGCGTGTCTTCATTTCACCGAGTTGGCTTGAAAGTACCACTTTCTGGGCCATTTCAGAGACCAGCCAAGTACCAGACCTGGGGTGTGTACTCGGAAAAGGCCAGGTGGAGTCGCTGGGCGGGACTTATGGTTAACTCGCGCTGATTGGTTGTAACTGTGTGAGAAATGACAACAGATTTGGAAAAGTTGCTGGTGAATCTAAATGTGGCCAAAAGAAAATAAGCAGCAGTGTTAAATTGCAGTATTTGAATGAAATGTGCGATGGAAATCCCGCACAAGTCTTCATGATCTCCTACAGAGTGCCATAAAAGAATGATGCTTCTTCTGGTCATTGATGGCGTACTTAGACAGAATAAAATGTTTATAGTGTTATTAATGTCCATGAATGTTGCTGATTAGTGATGTAAGTCTCTCCTGAAATTGTCACAACATGCCGACATCTTAGCAAAGACCTAAAATGGCTGATTTTGTATGTAGACACAATAGCTGGGAGGAATGGAAAAAAAGTCCTAAAAAGTTCCCTATCATCTCATCTTTTTCTCCAGGGCTCCCAGTCACCTTCCACCCTCAACCCCCCGACCCAAGCCAACGAGCGAACTGTGGCTTGGGTCTCCAACATGCCTCATCTCTCAGCTGACATTGAAAGTTCCAGGATCGACCGCGAAGAATTCAAGCTGAAGGAATATTCAAAGAGCATGGATGAGTCGCGCATGGACAGGGTGGGCAGCGTCTTTATACCTTTCACTCTCACACCAAGACAAAAAGCAACGAAAGTTTCAGTTGTTCCTGTTTTTAATTTATTGAGGACATTTGGGTCAATTAAATCATGTAACTTAATAATAAAATGAGATAATGTTATTAATAGTAAGGTAGTATTAATATGAAGTAAATTTTCATTCAAATTTGTCTTTATTTTGGGGATTTTTCTTCGTATGATGTATTTTTTATATATCTATATACCAGTATACTTTTGATAAAATGAATTCAAGTTGTATTTATAACATATTTAATAATGTATTGGATGTTTTCAAGCTTTAGGTAATTATTAAAGGAGCAATATGTAAGACTTTTACAGCTAAATAATCAGAAAACAGTCTAACGTCTCAATTATGTTTGAAGGAAAGTTACATTGAAATGTATTTCATTCTCAGCTGGCTGGAAGTTGTCAGTTTTCTTCTTTAAAAAAAAGATTAAAGTGGGACGTAGTTACTGTTTATATCAGTGAGCAAGCTAACTGCTGCGTCAGAATTAGCTATTCCACACCAGCAGGCTAAATGCTCCAGAGCTGTTAAAAGAACCAGTTAAGCCAGTGGCCCAGAAGTTATTTCTTGTACCACTAAGAAGCCACTGCATCTTTTTTCTACTCTAATATTGTGTGAAGCAGACTAGAGGCTAACGTTGAGCTAACAATGCTGAAAGTGAATTAGAAACAAATAGTCTGCTCAAAAAATATTTCCAGTTTTTTTCGAATACCAACAACTCGATTTTACAGTGAAATGCATTTTGAAGTTAATGAGTCAGTCGTGGCATTTTACCTCCTTTAATAAGTTGTTCACAACTATGACAACAAGCTAACGGCAAGATGGCAACCAACTGCATTTCTCCAATGCCGGAGAAATTTACCGTAATAAGTGTTCCCTACTGTAAAACCCCCTAGAGTGCTAACACCAGATACGTATCAACTTACTGTGTATGACTCGTCTTTGCTTGTGCTCTAGAACCTTCTGGTGCTGATCCGTAACTGGCAACAGCCATGACACTCACGGAGCGGCAGTGAGAAAGTTATTGCAGTACCCATATTTGATCATGAGATGCCATTCGTACTTCATTCTTACATGTGACACCTTTAAATGACCCAATAAGTTGATAGATGTAATCATTTTTTGCTCTCCATATATATCAAATTTAATTTCAAATGGCCCATATTTGATATAACGCCTTCAGGAGTCCTAGAATCCCCAATGTGCTTTACAACACAGTTATTCACCCATTCACACACACACACACACACACATTCACTGTGTTCAATGTGATGAGCTACATTGTAGCCACAGCTGCTCTGGGGCATACTGACAGAGGCGAGTCTGCCGTACACAGGCGCCGCCGGTCACTCTGAGCCCCACCAGCAGGAAAGGTGGGCTAAGTGTCTTGCCCAAGGACATAACGACAGACTGAGCGGGGCTTGATCCTGCAACCTACTGATTACGGGGCAAGCACTTGTCTCCTACACCACCATCGTACCTAAATTGTCTTCTAGTATTTGAGGCAAAAAGGTATAATTTGAAGACGTTTTTCACTTTTTTATTCAAACCCCAATCAGTTCCCCTATTTTTGTTCCACTTTATTCCAGTGCTTCATCATGAGACTAAACTGTCATTTACCTGTCAGCCAAAGGTTTGAGTACAATTAAAGATTTTTCCCCTCACTTCAGGTCAAAGAGTACGAGGAGGAGATCAACTCACTGAAGGAGCGTCTGGTGATGTCCCACAGGAAGCTGGAGGAGTACGAGCGCAGGCTTCTCGTACAGGAGCAACAGACCAATAAGATCCTCCTTCAGTACCAGAATCGACTGGAGGACAGCGAGAGGAGGCTACGGCAACAGCAAGTGGAGAAAGATTCCCAAATTAAAGGAATAATTAACAGGTAAATGGAGGCTGTTGTTGGGATGGAGGGCAAGAGACAGTTAAAGCACTGGGGGGTCTTTTGCAGAGACCACAATCAGACCAAATATTATATTTTAGTTAATTTTGGAGGATTTAGCAAATAGCTGAAAGAAGTGCTTCCCAGATATGTGCCAAAAGTGGCAAATTCTCAACAGTAAATGAAAGTAAAAAAATTCCTGAGATGTGGCAGAAGGCTTCAGATTTTTTGAAGTGGTGTTCTTTCCTGCTGCAGAAAGCTTTTTGAAAGATCTCAGTTTGAAGGAACACCTTTTAGTTCTAAGTGTCTCCGCAACTCTCGTCCACACTGAGGCGCTAAAACGGAGTTTCAGAAGATCTTCACTTCAGAAATTTTATTTTTCCGCAACCGTTTAGAGTTTTGGGAGCAATTGTTGGGAGTCGACCCGGCCTTGGAAGATGTTTAAAAGAGATTCTTGAAAAATATTGAAAAAATATCTAAAATAAACTTTCTACAACAGTTTTACCTTTAAGGATGAGTCTTCAAGACCACAAAAGGTGTGCTCCATCTATCAGAAATTCAGGGTAATTTACCGGAACTTCCCAGCATGCTTGTGTTTCCACTTCACTGGGCCGGCCGAATGAGCCATTTCCAGAAACCAACAGGGAACCTGAGTTGAGATTGGTACTGGGAATGGCCCGGTAGAGTCGCTGAGTGACTGTGGTTACCTCACGCTGATTGGTTGTAACTCAGAAGGAAGTGTCAAAAACAACCAGCAGAACAGCTGATAAAGACGCGCCACACAAACACCTGTGACACTTCTGAAGAAGATCGCAGACGATGGTCGAAACATGTAAAATTGTAACTTGAAACACCTTCATGTCCGAAGCAAAAAGAACCTCGTTTAATAACATTTGTAAAATCTAAAGAGATGAGCACTGTTTGCACTGCTTTAAAATCACCTTCACTAAAACTGCCAACATTGAAAAACGCAGCCGAATTCCCCCCACAATGTCGTAATTCACCAGGCTTTGTTGTCTCACAGAACACCAAAAAAACAGGTGCCTCTTCTGGAGCCACACTTTACATCACACAGCCACTCTCCCGATCCTCTGGATGGATTCAATTATGCCGTACTTCGACAGAATAACATTTTTAATGTTATTAATGTCTGTGGACACTTTTTGGCACAGATCAGTGACATTACTCACTGTCATGATATGCAGCAAAAGCAACAGGCGAGAGGACCGAACCTTCGTATGTCCCAGTCAGTTTCACCCTCCGAGGAATTACCCTGAACTTCCAGCAATGGAAACACGCCTAAAGAGCTAAATCTATGTCTAAAGCTTTATAAAATGTCAGCTGAAAGAGTAGATTCGTAATCTGCTGACATTTCTGCGAAACTTATCTTTTGTCGACGGTCGGTGGGTTTGCCCCTCCAACAATGTAGTTGTCATGGTTACCCATCATCACTGCAGATGAGTGTTTTGATCAGAGCCAAATTTTACTGATCTAAGTGCTCTGAGTCATTTTTACCCTCCCACTGTCTCTATGGGTGACCCCGCGAGGAAAGTTGACCATTGAGCAGGATTGATGGTTTATCCCTTGAGGTCCGCGTGGCAGGAGTGAGGTGGTGCTCACTCCTCACCTCTGCCATGGACCCAAGGGATAAACCATCAACCCTGCTCAATGGTCAACTTTCCTCATGTCCCATTAGGACAGTGGGAGGGTTAAGAAAGCAAAACTTGTTCAGGAACCACTCAGACCAAACGTTAGCGAGAGCTGTCCAAATCTGGGTCGTTCAAAGAGCTATCCACAAGTGAGATCAGAAATATTCTTATGTTTTCTAAAGAAATCCACTTCAAATGGCTCCTTTTACCAGATTTAGTTTTATTGCACAGAATACAGTAGGATAACAGGCTGGTTTTAGTTTCATTGTCTTAAGATTAGGACTTTTTATTGAACACTAAAGCAGCTAAATGAATAAGATGTCATTAAAGAAGTTTTAGAGAAGCATGCAGACTGTTTCTCTGGTGGTTGCATCTTTTTCCACACAAGGAAAAAAGAAACTTTGATTGTCCCGAATGTGACTGCTCACCCCAGCAAGGTTTCTTTGTTGTTACAGAATCCAATTTAGGCTCCAGCTGAGTTTTAGTTTACT